TTTGGGGTCACAAGGTCAAAGGTCAAGGTCACTATTACTGTAAAACTGAAAACGGTTTCCGGAGCATAACTTAAGTTCCGTTTGGCCCACAGTATGCAAACTTCATAGGATTAATACCCATATTAGGTGGAAGACCCCTATTGATTTTGGGGTCACAGGGTCAAAGGTTAAGGTCACTATTACCATAAAACAGAAAATGGTTTCTGGAGCATAACTTAAGTTCCATTTGACCCACAGTTTTCAAATTTCATAGGATATTTGGCCATATTGGGTAGAAGACCCCTATTGATTTTGGGGTCACAAGGTCAAAGGTCAAGGTCACTATTACCGTAAAACTGAAATTGGTTTCCGGAACATAACTAAAGTTCTATTTGCCCCACAGTACTTAAACTTTTTAGGATGATTGCCCATATTGGGTAGAAAACCCCTATTGATTTTTGGGTCACAAGGTCAAGGTCACTATTACCGTAAAACTGAAAATGCTTTCCGGAGCATAACTTGAGTTCCAATTTGCCCACAGTTTTCAAATTTCATAGGATGATTGGCCATATTGGGTAGAACACCCCTATTGATTTTGGGGTCACAAGGTCAAAGGTCAAGGTCACTATTAGCTAAATACTGAAAATGGTTTCCGGAACAAAACTTAAGTTCCATTTGGCCCACTTTATTCAAACTTAATAGGATGATTGTCCATATTGGGCAGAAGACCCCTATTGATTTTGGGGTCAGAAGGTCAAAGGTCATAGTAACAATTACCGTACAGTAAAACTGAAAATGGTTTCAAGAGCATTACTTAAGTTCCATTTGGCCCACAGTTTTCAAACTTCATAGGATGATTGCCATATTGGGTCGAAGACCCCTATTGATTTTGGGGTCACAAAGTCAAAGGCCAAGGTCACTATTATCCTGAAACTGAAAATCGTTTCCGCTGCATAAATTAAGTTCCATTTGGTCGACAGACTTCATAGGATGATTGTCCATATAGGGTAGATGACCCCTATTGATTTTGGGATCACAATGTCAAAGATCAAGGTTACTATCACCTTTTAACTGGAAACAGTTTTCGCTCAATAACTCAAGCATTAATCAACCTACAGCTTAAGTACATTCGGGCATATAATGCTCCGCCTAGCGGTGCTCTTGTTTATTTCTTGGACTAATATCATAATTTGTTGACAAGATTTAATTTCACACCACCCTTCTAAATGAACTGATCCTAGACACAATTGATTGACAGGTGCTAGAGATCGTTTAGTGCGCTCGAAGTGTCAATCATCATTAAAGGGTGGTCTTATCAAGACTTCAAAAGACTTTACCGACGTGCGTACGTGACAACCTGGGTAAATGTAGGCGGAGTCATTGTTGACAGAGTTGCCTAGCAAGTAGCAGGCTTACATGGAAAAAGGTCACACTTTGTTATCAATCAGTGAATTAGTGTCCTTGTGTTCTACTAAAATGTCTGGGAAAATCTATATGATCTCAACGGCTAAAAATAATTAACATGCAAATAAATTTGTATAATATTGGAATTGTTCAAACAATTTTTAAAATTCCGCGGCCCGCCGGCTGGTTTCCGTGACAATCCCGGGCATCCGGGACGTTCTGACATGTATGATTGACTATATATTTAATGCAAATAATTAACTGTTCATTTACCTGTATATCATTCAACAAAATCTGACGATACACATTAATGTTGGATCTAGATTCAACCAGTCTCTTATTAGAAATTTGATGCTGGAGACTATTTTGATGGAGTAACAGTTGTCTGGTTGGATGTGTCCCTATCTTAACTCCCCGAGTAACAAAAGCCTTGCTATTCAACGGCTGTGTAAAAAGTTCACAAACCTTGCACATTAAACCATGTTTTGCATTTGAATAGTACAACCAATGATAGTCTCTTTCATATTTAATAGAAGAAAATTTGCGCTTGTCACTGATATTTTTAATACCAAAGTGAGTGCTTGGATTACCGGCAGTTTTCAAAGAGTCACTGGGTTTACCAGATGAAATTTTCATAGATATATCTTGGACGTGGGGACATACTGACTTATTTCCAACATTAACTGATACTGACTTATTTACGTCAGGCACATCAACTGATACGGACTTATTTACGACAGGCACATCAACTGATACTGACTTAGCTACCACAGGCACAATGACATCAACTGATACGGACTTATTTACCACAGGCACATCAACTGATACGGACTTATTTACGACAGGCACATCAACTGATACTGACTTATTTACGTCAGGCACATCAACTGATACTGACTTATTTACGTCTGGCACATCAAAGTCTGACTTATTTCCAACATGTTCATCACCTATGAATTTATTAACAAGAGGCTGATCAACTTCAACAGGCACTGACTCAATAGATACAGACGTATTACTGACAGACTCAGAATTCACAAGTGCTATTTCTGTAGATAATTTGTTCCTTTTTACATTTTCAAAAGCAGTCAAAATGCTTGGCGTATCTTTCTTGTGTTTCTTTTGTATTTTCTTTGTGTAGTATTTTGAGTTGTGTGACATAATTCTTGCAGAATTATTTATTTATTTATTTATTTATTTACTTACATGATTTAGATCTATTTATTTATTTATTTACTTATTTATTTACATGATATTGCGGCGCACTGAAGCAGAACAATTTCTTCCACACGCTTTACAAGGTCAAACAAAATTATAAGCGTCCAAGTGACCGTGAAAGGATGTCTAAATGCCGTAATCGTATTTCATGTATTTCCGGTACCGTAAATTATCGCTACATCGATCGGCGATGGTTCAATATATTTCTGCCAAATTTTAAACGACTTCACGATTGTTTGCATCAATTTAATGCATCTGCCGTCAGAAATTGGTTTAGTTGGGAAAAAAGATAACATATTTTGGGAAATTTCAAGATTTTTAGGGGAAATTTTAACATTTTTGTCAATTGGGAAGACGCCGATATTCGGCGTCAAAATTAGGCAAAAAAAATCACTGTTGGTGTATTGTCTTCATACTTGGCCTCAACAACCCTTGGGACAAGACCTTTCAGTAGACTACACTAACCTTGACCTTCATCCATAAATGAGCCGTGTCATGACAAAACCAACATAATGGGTTTGCGACCAGCATGGATACAGACCAGCCTGCGCATCCGTGCAGTCTGATCAGGATCCATGATGTTCGTTTACCAACCCTATTACAAGTAGAGAAACTGATAGCGAACAGCATGGATCCTGATCAGACTGCGCGGATGCGCAGGCTTGTCTGGATCAATGCTGGTCGCAAAACCATTATGTTGGTTTTGTCATGACACTGCTCAAATGACCTTGACCTTCAAGGTTAAAAGTCCAAATTTTGCTTGTTCATGCTGTTATTGGCTGTAACTTGGTTATTGACAGACCTTGACCTTCACTCATAAATCACCTTGACTTTGAAGGTCAAATTATTGAAATTTTATTTTTTTTGGCTATTATTGGCTGTAACCTTATTATTTTTGAATGGATTGTCTTCAAACTTGAACATAATAATCTTCAAGGATAACACTTAAAAAATAACCAGACAGACCTTGACCTTCACTCATAAATGACCTTGACCTTTTCATTGTTATACCCCCGCACAATAAAGTTGTAAGGGGGGTATACTGGAATCAGCTTGTCCGTCCGGCCGTCCGTCCGGCTGTCCGTCGGTTTTTTCTTGTCCGCCCAATAACTTAAGATTCCTTTGACCCTTAGTCTTCATATTTGACATGGAGGTTAGTCATGATTAGTAGATGAGCCCTATTGATTTTGAGGTCACTAGGTCAAAGGTCAAGGTCACAGGGGCCTTGACTTCAAAAAGCTTGTCCGCCCAAGAACTTAAAATTCCTTTAACCTACAGTTGTCATATTAGGCATGGAGGTTAGTCATGATTAGTAGATGACCCCTATTGATTTTGAGGTCAAAGGTCAAGGTCACAGGGGCCTTGACTTCAAAAATCTTGTCCGCCCAATAACTTAAGATTCCTTTGACCCACAGTCTTCATATTTGGAATGGAGGTTACTCATGATTAGTAGATGACCCCTATTGATTTTGAGGTCACCACGTCAAAGGTCAAGGTCACAAAGTCTTTGACTTCAAAAACCTTGTCCGCCCAATAACTTAAGATTCCTTTAACCTACAGTCGTCATATTTGGCATGGAGGTTAGTCATGATTAGTAGATGGCCCCTATTGATTTTGAGGGCACTAGGTCAAAGGTCAAGGTCACAGGGGCCTTGACTTCAAAAAGCTTGTCCGCCCAATAACTTAAGATTCCTTTGACCCACAGTCGTCATATTTCGAATGGAGGTTACTCATGATTAGTAGATGACCCCTATTGATTTTGAGGTCACCACGTCAAAGGTCAAGGTCACAGAGTCTTTGACTTCAAAAAGTTTTTCTGCCCAATAACTTTAGATTCCTTTGACCCACAGTCTTCATATTTAGCATGGATGTTGATCATGATTAGTAGATGACCCCTATTGATTTTGAGGTCACTGGGTCAAAGGTCAATGTCATAGGGACCGTGACAAAAAAAAGCTTTTTTTCTCAATTGTTAAAGAATGTCCTGTCCGCAATGTATTGATTTTGACATTTTCACATTTGAAGCATGTAGAATACATAACTTAGCAATGCACTGGCTTAGTAACCTCAGATTTGGCAGGGAGGGTGTCCTTGAGCTCTAAATGGCCACTGTTGATTCTGACAAAGTGGTATGCGGGGGTATTCACGCCATGATAGTGGCAGTTCTAGTTTTTGCTGTAACTGGCTGTAACTTTGCTATCATTGAAGGGATCAACTTCATATTATAACAGAACATACTTAAGGACAAGACCTTGTCACCACCACATGTCACCAGCACATGACACCACCAGCACGTGACACCACCAGCACATGACTCCACAACGTGACTCCACCACGTCTCTCCACCATGTAACTCCACCATGTGACTCCACCACGTGACTCTACCACATGACTCCACCACGTGACTAGAAATTGTTGAATTGATTTTGGCTGCTCAATGTGGCCCAAATAATATCTACTTCTGTATATGACCATTTCTAACAACAAATCTCAGGGCCAATATGGCCCTCTAGAGATTGTAACAATGCCTTCATTATAAGTCAAAGTTCATGGTCCCTTAACTGGACCCAGCTTTCAGGGCATACATGTACAAGTGTTTGTGATCAGTCATAGTTAATGTTGGTTTTCCTTGGATTCTTACAAATTGTAGCTAAAAATATTTTTTTTTCTTTCTAGAAATCAAGATGGCACATGAGATACATTTAAAGAACAACAAATACCGGCAGTGGGTTAAGGCTGGCCTAGGCTTGGGTTATCTTAAAGAGGGACTTGCGCCATTTTGTGATGACATAGGAAGACAGCAGCACAACGATATTATAAACAAAATACAACAAACAAAGACTCCTCAACCAAACGTACCATGTGGCGCCTGTCAGATAACAACTCTCCAGCCAGACCATGTCCGAGTCTCAAAAGGGATATGTCCCCTCAAACAAGATAAATGTAACTGTTGCTTTCCAAATAATAAGAGACCCTGTCCAAACAATGTATGTGGTGCCATCTATGACAGCATTATACAGTATCATGCATCAATGCCACCGGCACCTTTTTGGAAAAACAGTGATGTCCAACAGTGGTCAACAGAACCGTGGGAGGTTTGCAAATGTTTTATAAATGCTCCTGGGTACAAGGACAAGACATCAGCAGTCGACACTGATTGCACTGGGTTGCTTCATGTTATCATAAATAACAAGTACTTTCATAGTCACATTGGATGCAATGTTACCGGACCAAACAATCTTTTTTCAAAGGTAACTAGATTTGTATACTATAATTATTATGTTTATTTTTAATTTTGAAGAATATTAAGCTTTACTGTAATATTAAGTCTGTTAATTAAGTATAAAAGCAAAAGAGAATATTTTTTACCTTAGTGCAGTTATTGGTTAACTCTTTATTATACCCCCAAAAACGAAGTTTGGGGGGTATATAGGAGTCACCCGGTGGTCGGTTGGTTGGTCGGTCCAGCGGTCCGTTGCATTTTCCTTGTCCGGAGCATAACTTGAAAACTAATGGTTGGAAGTCAATATAACTTCATACAATGGTCAAGCACATTGAGAGGAAGTGCAGTGCACAAGAACCATAACTCTATCTTGACTAATTACAGAGTTATTGCCCTTTGTTACTTTTCCTTGTCTGGAGCATAACTTGAAAACTAATGGTTGGAATTCAAAACAACTCCATACAATTGTCAGGCACAATAAGGGGAAGTGCAGTGCACAAGAACCATAACTCTATCTAAAGTAATTACAGATTTGTTTGCCCTTTGTTAATTTTCCATTGCTTTTTTTGTCCGGACCATAACTTGAAGACTTATGGTTGGAATTCAATATAATTTTATACAATGGTCAAGCACATTGAGTGGAAGTGAATTGCACAAGAACCATAACTCTATCTTGACTGATTACAGAGTGACTGCCCTTTGTTACTTTTCCTTGTCCAGAGCATAACTTAAAAACCACTGATTGGAAGTCAAAACAACTTGATAAAATTGTCAAGCACAATAAGGGGAAGTGCAGTGCACAAGAACTATAACTGTATCTAAAGTAATTACAGAGTTATTGCCCTTTGTTACTTTTCCATTGCTTTCTTTTGTCCGGACCATAACTTGAAGACTAATGGTTGGAATTCAATATAACATCATACAATGGTCAAGCACATTGAGAGGAAGTGCAGTGCACAAGAACCATAACTCCATCTTGACTAATTACAGAGTTACTGCCCTTTGTTACTTTTCCTACCAGAGCATAACTTAAAAACTACTGGTTGGAATTCAAAACAACTTCATACAGTTGTCAAGCACAATTAAAGGGGAAGTGCAGTGCACAAGAACCATAACTTAATCTTGACTAATTACAGAGTTATTGCCCTTTGTTACTTTTCCATTGCTTTTTTTTTGTCCGGAGCATGACTTGAAGATAAATGGTTGGAAGTCAATATAATTTCATACAATGGTCAAGCATAGTTAGAGGAAGTGCAGTGCACAAGAACCCTAACTCCATCTTGCCTAATTACAGAGTTATTGCCCTTTGTTACTTTTCCTTGTCTGGAGCATAATTTGAAAACTACTGGATGGAATTCAAAACAACTCCATACAATTGTCAGGCACAATAAGGGGAAGTACACAAGAACCATAACTCTATCTAAAGTAATTACAGATTTGTTTGCCCTTTGTTAATTTTCCATTGCTTTTTTTGTCCGGACCATAACTTGAAGACTTATGGTTGGAATTCAATATAATTTTATACAATGGTCAAGCACATTGAGTGGAAGTGAATTGCACAAGAACCATAACTCTATCTTGACTGATTACAGAGTGACTGCCCTTTGTTACTTTTCCTTGTCCAGAGCATAACTTAAAAACCACTGATTGGAAGTCAAAACAACTTGATAAAATTGTCAAGCACAATAAGGGGAAGTGCAGTGCACAAGAACTATAACTGTATCTAAAGTAATTACAGAGTTATTGCCCTTGTTACTTTTCCATTGCTTTCTTTTGTCCGGACCATAACTTGAAGACTAATGGTTGGAATTCAATATAACATCATACAATGGTCAAGCACATTGAGAGGAAGTGCAGTGCACAAGAACCATAACTCCATCTTGACTAATTACAGAGTTACTGCCCTTTGTTACTTTTCCTACCAGAGCATAACTTAAAAACTACTGGTTGGAATTCAAAACAACTTCATACAGTTGTCAAGCACAATTAAAGGGGAAGTGCAGTGCACAAGAACCATAACTTAATCTTGACTAATTACAGAGTTATTGCCCTTTGTTACTTTTCCATTGCTTTTTTTTGTCCGGAGCATGACTTGAAGATAAATGGTTGGAAGTCAATATAATTTCATACAATGGTCAAGCATAGTTAGAGGAAGTGCAGTGCACAAGAACCCTAACTCCATCTTGCCTAATTACAGAGTTATTGCCCTTTGTTACTTTTCCTTGTCTGGAGCATAATTTGAAAACTACTGGATGGAATTCAATACAACTTCATACAGTTGTCAAGCACATTAAGAGGAAGTGCAGTGCACAAGAACCATAACACGATTTTGACAAATTACAGAGTTATTGCCCTTTGATACTTTTCCTTGTCCAGAGCATAACTTAAAACGTACTGGTTGGAATTCAAAAAAAGTTCATACTATGATCAAGCACAATAAGAGGAAGTGCAGTGCACAAGAACTATAACTATGTACAGAGTAATTATAGAGTTATTGCCCTTTGTTGCTTTTCCATTGCTTTTATCTTGTCCAGAGCATAACTTGAAAACTACTAGTTGCAATTCAATACTTTTTCATACAATGGTCAAGTATATTGAGAGGAAGCACAGTGTACAGAAATCATTAATCTTTCTAGACTTATTTAAAAGTTTTTGCCCTTTGTTGCTTTTTATTGTCCAGTGCATAACTTCAAGATTAATGATTGGAATTCAATGAAACTTCATACAATGGTCAAGGGCAGTAAAATGCCAGTTAAAATCTAATAATGCCAGTAAACATTGCTCTATTTGGCATTTATTTGCAAGTGACTGTTCATTTTGGACGTTTACATAATTGATATCTTCTGAGCTGATGATGATGCTTGGCAACTGCCCGCTGCAGAATCTGATGATGTTTACCTTAAAAATCAATTTTTGGTTGCTCTATTTATTTTTTCTGTGACTATATTTTGATGGACTATTTATAACAGCCAAACACATGTTGTTTTATCAGGGTACAATGTAAATGCGTAGCACTCCTTTGTAAAGTGTTTACTTATAAGCGGAAATATTTATCTAAGTAGATCAGTACCTCTGAGTTTTCTGGCTGTTGGTGTAATCAAGTACAAAATATGCTAAAATTAATTAAAGTCCTAAGAAATTACATTACATGAACAAGTTTTTAACTGTCCATTGTCACCGGTGGGTGTTTCTCTAGTATATCTTATCTGACTCTTAAACAATTGTTATCATTTATAAATTAATGTGCTGAAATGTTTTTATTTCGTTACAAGAAGAGATCTGTGTTTACTAGTGATAAAGAATTGTTTCTGTCATTTAATGGACATGCAGCTTATTAATATTTGTCATACCATAGGTTCAAAATGCCATTGTCATTGTGTATTATTATAATAATAAGATGCATGATAATGGAAATGCCAGTTGACTTCCTCATATTGCCAGTTTAACATTTGATCACTTGCAAAAATTTGCAAGCAGAAATTATTGCTAAATTCTAACCCTGGAAGTGCAGTACACAAGAACCATAACTCTATTTTGGACTAATTACAGTTATTGCCCTTTGTTTCGTTTTAGCTCGACTATTCGATAAGAATAAGTAGAGCTATTGCAGTCACCCGAGCGTCGGCGTTGGCGTCGGCGTAACCACTTATGTTAAAGTTTTTGTAATAGTTCAAATATTTTCAAAGTCCATTGACATATGGCTTTGAAACTTTGCACACTTGTTCACCATCATGACCCCAACCTGTATACAGGATGAGGTAACTCTATCAAGCATTTTGACAGAATTATGCCCCTTTTTCGACTTCGAATTATGTTAAAGTTTTTGTAATAGTTCAAATATTTTCAAAGTCCATAGATATATGGCTTTGAAACTTTGCACACTTGTTCACCATCATGACCCCAACCTGTAGACATGAGGAGGTAACTCTATCAAGCATTTTGACAGAATTATGCCCCTTTTTTGACTTAGAATTCATGTTAAAGTTTTTGTAATAGTTCAAATATTTTCAAAGTCCATAGACATATGGCTTTGAATCTTTGCACACTTGTTCACCATCATGACCCCAACCTGTAAACAGGAGGAGGTAACTGTATCAAGCATTTTTTTTACTATCAAGCACTCAGAATAGTCGAGCGTTGCTGTCCTACCGACAGCTCTTGTTTGTCCTGTGCTTAACTTTAAAACTTGTAGTTGGAATTCAATATAACTTCATACAATGGTCAAGTGCAATAAGAGGAAGTGCAGTGTTCAATAACCATAACTCCATCTTCAGTATTTATAGAGTTATTGTCCTTTGTTCCTTTTCCTTGTCTTTCTGGACTTATTGCAGAGTAATTCAATAAAACTTCATCACTGGCCAACCATATTGAAAGGAAATGCAATATACAAGAACCACAACTATCTTTAATTGCCCACAACCATAAATGTATTTCAATTGTTTTACAATGTATTCTGTTACTAGTAACATCCTCATTTCGGAAGCAGTCTTTCAGGGGTATTAATCACATTTAGTGATAGTTCTAGTTGAATTTTTAGAGTTTACCCATTACCGCACTAAGATGAAATTATATCCATATAACTAATGAGGTTAATGCAGTTTAATTTTGCAAGAGAAACAATTTGCAACAAATGAATAATGATTAAAAATTGTGACGCATAAAGTTGTATTCTTAAATATATTTCAGCAATACAATCTTTTCGCTAACTCTAATTTTTGTGGGAAGGAAACAAAAACTATTACTATTTTAAGCCTCACTGTAAAATGTACAGAAGTAGGTTATTTTGCCTGCTGCACAGTAAATGGGCCAATTGTGTTAGCATCTAAGTCAAAAAATAAAGTTAAACTTACAAGAAAATATTTGCTTCTTTTAAGAACCTTAGGATGCCTGTAACAATATTTTTTGAAAGAAATGATAAGTTTTTGAATACTTTTTTCAAAATATTACATTTTATGTGAACCGTGTGGGTAGGGGACGGATGTTACAAAGATATACTCAAAGTCTGAATATCTTAAAATTTACAATTAAAATTGTATTATTTCTCTTTGTTTTATTAATATATTATGTATTCTATTAAGTGTCACAAATTTTTTTCAGAAAATTCATCTTAGATATAAAAATATTTGCTATTGTCAGTTTTTTTCCCCGCAAAATTAATTTTTCAAACATGTTAGAAACAAAGTAAAATAAACAAGGATAGGTACATCAAATCATACTTATTAATAAATCAAATTTGCAAACACATTTCTTATAAAACAGTAAAAATAATAGGACTTTCTAATGTTTATTTCTTGTCAGATAATCCAGAAATGAATTGCATCAGGGGGACGGATGTTACATTTTTGGGGGGACGGATGTTACACTAGATGTTTAAAGCTCATAGTTAATACTTTGTTTGGTTTTATTTTCAAGTAATAAAATTTCCTAGAGTATTATGTTTATATAGTACAATAAATGTAAAATAATTGAACAAATTATGAGAAAAATGTAGAAATATACCCGACAATTATGGAGTTTCTTACTTTTTGCGTTTCACAATGAAAAGTTGCAATGACTTAGTTTTCTTCCAGTTATCTTACATTTGAATGAACATTGAAATGTTTTGAATAAGATAAGAAAATTGCTAATGAAATAAAATAATCCTTGTTTCCAGATAATGCATTAAAATACTGTGTTAAAGAAAGAATGTCAAACCAACGGTACCTTTCTATACATGAAATCATTTACAAAATACTTTTGTTATATAATAAGATTTATCTTTGTAAAAGATATGATACAGTGTGAAGTAATTGAAACATATGTAAGCTTGAATTTGTCATTACTAAATACACAAATTATAAACAATTAAAAATTTTCATTAAAAAGATTTTAAATTGTTGCCATTAAGTACTATCAATTTGATGAAATTTTAAGTAAATTAATGTGGAATGTCAGCAGCATTATCCAAAGATTTCATTATGATTCAGTGTCATAAGCTCATTATTTCTAACTTTTAATAATAATTCTCTGTGTAAATATTTCAGTGTACATGAACTGCTTAACTATGATCTAATTTGTCATTCAATATAATTTATAGGTTCAAAATAATTTGCGAAAGGGTTCATAAACAATTTTAAACAAAAAACTTTTTTATTTAGGGGAAACCAAAAAAAATCCTTTTCTTAAATTTTTTTTCCACTTTTTTAGGATAACTAAATGGGTCAAAATTAAGAAAATATCTGGAAATTTTGAAGAAAAAGAATTTTTAATCAGGAAAATTGAATTTTGTTTTTTTATTTTGTTTTTTTTTTAAAAATTTTAAAATTAAAATTTTCTTAAGCCTTTAAAATTGAATTAATAAAAATTCCCCTTTTTAAAACTTAAATTTGGAAATTTTTAACATTTCCCTTAAATAAACGGGGCCCCCTCAAACCAGATTTGGGTTTTTCCTCCCCCCTTGTTTTTTCACCCCAAAAAAGGGAAAATCCCCCCAACTGTTTTTTTTAATATATCACCCCTTCCCAAATTTTTAAAATTTACACAGTTTCCCAAATTTAACCCCCTCGTTAACTTCCAATAAAGTGCCAGCCCCTTCTGTGTGTATAGATTAAGGATCCATATCCCACTGTTTTATGAGAGGCTGGGATAGATGATTTGTTAACTATTTAAGGCTAAAGAATTTATGTTTTAACAATGACTAATTTTAATCAAAAAGATACTTTTAACATCTCTACTGTTTACACCTTTTCTGTATATCCTATTTTGGATTTTGTGTTTGTTTCTTCTAGTTATTTTTTTTTTAATACTATTTTATTGCTGTGTGAAACATTCCTAAACAGTTGCAAAACTTACTACTTCTCTAGCATGCGTCATAAGAACAAGTTAAGTTTGAGTATTACTGTAAAAAGAATCATTAGTTCTAATAGTTAATTTCTGTAACATCCGTCCCCTCCTGTACCCTTGGTTTGAAAACACAGAATAACAAAATATTATATTTGTCATAAATTCATATAAGCTTAAATATTATTTTTATAAACGTATTGGCCCATTTGATGTTTAAAAAAACATAATAACTTTATTTCAAAGTAAATAATTTATTTTTTTAGCAAAAAATAATGATTTTTTTCAAAATTAAGGAATTTGGTGTTCACAAATAATAATTTTTATATAAATACATCATTTCAGTCCTTTACTTCCATTATTTCTTCATTTTTCATTGTAACGTTGGTGTTTTAGTGTAAAATTCTCTTTTCAGTTACAGTTTGTTTGAGATTTAATAAGTACCATATATAGGGGGACGGATGTTACGGGGACGGATGTTACACACAACTTTTACATTATTGTATTTTTTTTCTCATTTACATAGAAATTGGCAATTTTTGTAACATTTTCATAGTAAGACTATCAATAGGCACCAGAAACATTGTTTTTTATGAGTATTGTTTTAAAATTGGATATTTTATGAGAGGGGGACGGACGTTACAGTTTTTTCATCACAAATTTTTTTTCACCACTATAATGCATACTATGGTAAAATTGTTTCAAAATTTGTTTTGAAAACACTTTACATATGTTTTTAATTCATATTTCATTAGATTAAGACAATAAAGTACTATTTTATATGTAATTGCTTAAAGGTATACTTGTTTAATTAATAACTGTATTTTGGAAAAACTGATGCATTACGAAAGTCTGATTTTACTAAAATCATCTTAACGATAAAAACTAGGATGATATATACCAAGTATAATATATCATCGGAAAGGTAACTAAATTTTTTATGTGCATGTAAAAAAATTTAAGATATAAATTAGAACAGATAATAGTGGTGTTAATTCAAAAAACACCAAAAAATCAGATGCTAACACATTACATGTAAAATTGGGCATTTTTAGGGTATAAAATGTCCGTATCTTTATTTTGGGTAATGCTATCATAAAAAACTTTTGGGGCACATTTGCAATATAGTTAGTCCTTTGTAAAAACACAAAAAAGTAATTGCAAATGCAAAATATTTTTGGAAAAAGCCTGCATTACATGTATTTTTGAAAAAAATGGCCCATTTACTGTGCAGCAGGCAATTTGTGCTTTATAAGTAAATGCAACACATAAATACCATTACTTCAGTAAAATAATTATAAAATTTATAAAAAAAAAACATTTCTATTCCAATCTGCAGTTTAAACACAATAATAATATTGATTTATATTATGGTAAGTACTTTAAAGTAACTCCTTTATTACAGTTTTAATTCTCAACTTAGAAATTGTGTTTAGTCTTATTGCTGAACACTGTATTTATGTGAATGTTGTATTATTTGTTTTCTGTATATTAGGTACGGCAGTACCGGAACGAGATTTTTCATTCTAGCAATATGGAATTAGAGGAGAGCAAGGCTAATTGTTATATTAATGACATGATAGCTGTATTACAAGATGGTAAGGAACTTTTATATCGACAATGTGCACAACAAGCTGTCGGGAAACTTCAAGATGTAAGTGTACATAATAAATTATAAGTTTGAAACCTTTAAAGAGTTAAATTACCATAACTTGAAATAAGCACATTTTACTAAATTTTCAGAGTTAAATAGAAAAAGTGCTCAAAGTGGTTACTTCATTTTAGTCAAATTTAAGTAACAACTGCCTTGAGTTAACTTATATTAATGAAATCAAATAATTTACCTACAAATACAAAAATACGGATCTAAGCTTGTTAGTAACAGGTAAGAAAAACAAATGTGAAGAAAATAGAAAATTCTGGCAATCAAATGCCTATACCAAACATCCTGCCTTAAAAGCAGATTTTAGAAGCCCTCAGAAAAAGTATGGTAGTTAAAATAAAAAACAGTTGTGATAATTTTGAAATAAAGTTTGACCTTATATATGATATGTTGTATAGAAAAGTAAGTATAATACTATCATAAATCATATAGCTACATTTTTATCTCTGAAAGAAAATGGAACATTATTTTTTCATCAGCTTAAGCAAAAAGACTTCTATGTAACTACTGAATGCTCTGAAGAAATTTTGAAACAAATCAAAGATGAAATGACAAAAATGCGAGAATTTACTGAAAATGCTGCAACTAAAGAGGACTATGAGGAGCTCAAAAATAAATTTATTGAACTTGAAAGACAGTTGGCACAAGAAAGAGAGGGACAACTTGAGGCTGGGAAAGAACAGAAAAGAAAGTTTACTGAACTTGAGGCAGTTTTAACAGAGCAAAAACAGGTAAAAAATGTTTTCCTTTTGTTTGTTTCAAGTTGATATACCAGTACATGTATTCCAATACAACCACGTCCGTCCGTCTGTGCGTCCTCACTACATTCGTGTTCGGACTGTAACTCTGTCATACATTGAGGGATTTTAAAATAACTTGGCAAAATGTCTACCACATCAAGACGATGTGTTGTGTCTAAGAACCACGTCCCTACCTCAAAGGTCAAGGTCACACTATCATTTTGAAGTTTCACATTATCACAATTAGAGTAAATAGGTACACACATACGTGTCTGGACTTAATAACTTTATGCATTGAAGATCCCGGTTGGTATTGCATTTCGATCCCCTGGGGTGGAGGTCGAGGTCAAGGTCATCGTTACTAAATATAGAAAAATGGTTTCCGGACAATAACTAGAGTTAGGAATGAGATATTGTAATCAAACTTGATGTATAGCAAGCTTATTTGAAGACACCGGTTGTGATTTCAATTAATTAAAATAATACTTTGTACACAGTTGATACTTCTTTTTCTATTGGTTGAGTTCAAATATTTTTTTCAGACCACTTAATTTTCAAAAAGTCAAAGTTGCTGATGGGGGTTTTTACTCATCTTCAGTGATGGTTCCAGTTTTGCTTTATCATAGCCTAACAACATGCCAAGTTTTAGGAAATTCTATTGAACAGTTATAATTTAGGCAATATGTGTATAAAACTCCTAAAGCGTCTTTAAAGATAACTTTGATCTGTAACTGAGCTTGACTATCTACAATTCCTTTTAACAACATAAGGGCCAAAACAACAAAATAGATTTTGAACAACCTTTACAGAAGTGATCTTCTTATAGTCCTCTCTAAAAGTAAAATTAATCATGCCCCTTTGAAATCAATGGCCTATCCTTAGGCTACATGGCTAAAGTGAAACATATTTATTATGGCATTGCCTGAGTTATGAAAATCATTAACATGGGTCAAATAGAGCCATGCCTTAGTATCATGTTTATAATTTTTTCTTTAAATAGGAATGTGACTTGACTGAGGTCCTATAAATTATGCCTCTATAATGTTAAACCTTCTAGAAATGGTCACTTAACAAAACGGTCTCTGAAGACAAGGCATGATAAAAATGGAAAATTTATTATCTGTCATCTTTCCTTCGCGGTGGGGAAGTTTTTTCAACTTCATTTATAGAAAATTAATGTTTAATAATTATAACACTGTAATCATCTCGTAAGATGTTCAAATAAAAAATAACTTTCTGATATTTATTAACAAAACAGCTTTGATCCATTACCTACATGTTTTTACATTTTCTCAAATTTTCAAGCTACTGTATTCCGTTACTTTTCCTTGTCCTCGGCAGGTAAAATCTAATATGTGTAAATGTTTTCTGTGGTGATTTTCAATTCAAAGAAACAAACTACATGTAACTGTAACTATTAATTTAATTGCTGATTATAAAAGTTCAAGGTCATTTCAATGCAGTCAAAATATCAACAGTAAAGCGTATACACCATCTCAGTAAGGACAGAGTGTTGCATTATTCTATCTATTATATTGGATAATACATGTCACACCTATAATTAACTTCATTTGCATACGTTAAAAACTGTTTGGGAAATACAGTTCTTCACACATTTATATATTTTGTTATGATTGTTGACACTTGTGAAATCACGAGGCGGCTTTCACTAAAAACACAAACATTTGACAGGTAAGAGCACTTTTAGAATATGTCTGCAGTAAAATCCGTGTTTTACAATTTAAAAGTGGTTGTTTGATGAAAAGATTAATATCATTAACCGTAGCCGATAGTGTTGAGCAAATGTAACTTTGAAATACATTAAAGATATATAGGAAATGCTCTTGGGGGGATTTACAGTGGTCGCTTAAGACAAAATTTGCTTAATACATGTGGTCGCATGGGCAAGTTTAAAGACTGTACTTTACTGATCAAGCTCAAATGCAAGTTTTCATAACTTCATGTTTCAAAAGTAGCAACTCAAGACCTGACTGCAAATAAGAAATCTGAAATAAAAAGGGGTGTATCAATGGGGTAAAGGTAGCATAAATAAAAATGGACTATAGACTCTTAATAAAAGTAAGCGATTGCAGGGACATCCTGGCCCTCTTGTTTAGATATATCGGGACACTGTTTGTTAATGAGAGTGCAAATACCAATATTACTGTATACAATAAATATTTACTAAATAAAACACAATTATTTGTATTATTTTTATGTTGTAGGAGATAGAAAGACTCAAGGAAGAAGATTCTCCTCAACAAAAACAGTTAGAGTTTGAAAAGGCTAAATCAGGTATGTTATATAGAATATGAAAAGGCGAAATCAGGTATGTTATATAGAATATGAAACGGCAAGATCAGGTATGTTATATTGAATATGAAAGGGTGAAATCAGGTACTTTATATAGAATATGAAAAGGCTAGATCAGGTATGTTGTACAGAATTTGAAAAGGCTAGATCAGGTATCTGATAATAAAAAGGCTTAATCAAGGAAGAAGATTCTCCTCAACAAAAACAGTTAGAGTTTGAAAAGGCTAAATCAGGTATGTTATATACAATATGAAAAGGCTAAATCTGGTATGTTATAATATGAAAAAGGCAAAGCCTCAAAGCGAGCTCAATGTACTTTTAACGTGAAATAGTATGAAATAATCGCTCATTTTTATTTCAAATGCAGTTACGAGTGCGTTTGACGTATCACGTACTGTGTTAAATTTGGCTCCGCTCCTGTCGTTAAATGAACAACGAGTTTTGGAAACGTTGATAAAACTTTGTTTGTTTATTTTATTTCACTCTATAATTTTTCAAGCGAAATAAAGATTATTAAAAGTGAAATAAATGTTAAATTTAAAACGTTTGCGACATACTATTAAATGGCGTACTTGATATGATTGTTTTGCACGTGCTGTTTGGCGCTACATTGTGACGTCACGTAAACAATACTTTAAACGTCTGTACAGCGTTAACAACTGAATAAAAGATATTGGTGTTCGGATTCATTTTCTTAGTTAGACCATTTTCTTTCATTCTATATAGTTTTCACAACAAAATTCGACAAAAAAATGTTTTTATTTATCAGATTTTTCAAACAAAATGGCGCCTTCAATTTTCATTTTACATTTTCCGTTTTAAAACTGTCATTCGTTATGTTATCCACAGCTTCCGTTGTTCTGGTTCCCTGTCCAATTATGGTTCCCATAGACGTGCGCGGGTGACCAGTCTACACATCCGTTTTCAGTCAGAATTCCTCAGTTTTTATCGTTATCTTTAAATTCGAAAAGTTGCGATGTGTCCAATTTGGATTTTTAGGCTGTGACTAAAAAAAGGATTGGAGCACCACACTAAATACCGTATTCCGGTATATACCGGACAAGGCGCTTGAATGATAAAATGCTAAAATCTTGTCTTTTTACCCAACGGAATGAACTTTAACAGGTCTAATTCATCTTTTCACACCGAATCAAGTACGATAATCAAGGAAAAATGTAAAATTCGGCGAAAAAAACGATATTTGTCTATTTTGGGATCATGATTTCTGCAAGCGTCTAGAGGTACTGCTCCAATCCTGTATTGAGCTAAATCCGGATTTTTATGCTCCCCGAAAAAATTTCGGGGGAGCATATAGTCGCCGCCTTGTCCGTCCGTCCGTCCGTTCGTCCGTCCGTCCGTCCGTCCGTCCGTCCCCTTTTCTTGTCCGGGACATAACTTTGAAACAACAAGAGGTATCAACATGAAACTTTGTAGGTAGATAGATCTCATTGAGTAGGTGTGCAGTGCACAAGAACCGTACCTCTGCCTTGCCTTATTTTCGAATTATTCCCCTTTGTTTATTTTTACACTTTGAACTTTGTCCGGGACATAAATCTAAAAGTATAAGAGGTATCAACATGAAGCTTTGTAGGTAGATAGATCTCATTGAGTAGGTGTGCAGTGCACAAGAACCGTAACTCTGCCTTGCCTAATTTTTGAATTATTCCCCTTTGTTTATTTTTACACTTTGAACTTTGTCCGGGACATAACTCTTAAAGTATAAGAGGTATCAACATGAAACTTTGTAGGTAGGAAGATCTCATTGAGTAGGTGTGCAGTGCACAAGAACCGTAACTCTGCCTTGCCTAATTTTTGAATTACCCCCCTTTGTTTATTTTACACTTTGAAATTTGTCTGGGACATAACTCTAAGAGTATAAGAGGTATCAACATGAAACTTTGTAGGTAAGAAGATCTCATTGAGTAGGTGTGCAGTGCACAAGAACCGTAACTCTGCCTTGTCTTTTTTTTGAATTACCCCCCTTTGTTTATTTTACACTTTGAACATTATCCGGGATATAACTCTAAAAGTATAAGAGGTATCAACATGAAACTTTGTAGGTAGATAGATCTCATTAAGTAGGTGTGCAGTGCACAAGAACCGTAACTCTGCCTTGCCTAATTTTTGAATTATCCCCCTTTGTTTATTTTACACTTTGAAATTTGTCCGGGACATAACTCTAAAAGTATAAGAGGTATCAACATGAAACTTTGTAGGTAGATAGATCTCATTGAGTAGGTGTACAGTGCACAAGAACCGTAACTCTGCCTTGCCTTATTTTTGAATTATCCCCCTTTGTTTATTTTACACTTTGAACTTTGTGCGGGACATAACTCTAAAAGTATAAGAGGTATCAACATGAAACTTTGTAGGTAGATAGATCTCATTGAGTAGGTGTGCAGTGCACAAGAACCGTAACTCTGCCTTGCCTACTTTTTGAGTTATTGCCCTTTGTTCATTTTGACACTTTGAACTTTTTCTTGGACATTACTCTAAAATTATAAGAGATATCAATATGAAACTTTGTAGATAAATAGGTCTCATTGGTTGGAAGTGCAGTGTTTAAGAATCATTACTCTGCCTTGCCTTATTTTGAAGTAATTGCCATTTGTTTACTTTTACTTTTTGACTTTTGTCCTGGACAATACTTTAAAACTATTAGAGATATCAACATGAAACTTTGTAGGTAGCTAGATATAATTGGATAGAATAGAACATAAACAAAGCCTGGTCTAATTTTGGAGTTATTGCCCTTTGTTCATTTTTACACTTTGACTTTTACCCGGGACATAACTCTGATATCATCAGGAAACTTTATAGATAAATAGATCTCATTGAATAGAAGTGCAGTGCAAAAAACATAACTCCGCTTTGCCTAATTTTGGAGTTTTTGCCTTTGTTCATTTTTTATACTTTCCTGTGTCCAGAACCTTCTCGGGGAGCATCACCCGGTTCAACCGGTTCTTGTTGGACGAAAGTTTTCAAAACCATCACTTAGCAGGTACTCGCGTTACCGTAAAGCTCGCTTTGCGAGCAGGACCTTCGGGCCAGCTCGTCGAGCTCGCTATAAAATATAAAAAGAATTAATCAGGTATGTTATATTATAAAATATGAAAAAGCTTAATCAGGAATGTTACATATGATGTTATATATTATATGAAAAAGGCTAAAGAAGGTATGTTTTTGTGTCGCCTCTACGGAGTAGTGGCGACATATAGGAATCACTTTCCCGTCGTCGTCTGTCCGTCCGTCACAAAACTTGTACAGACTACTCCTCATAAACTACTGGTGCAATTTCATCTAAACTGTATAGGAATGATCAGTACCAAGTGTAGTTATGCATATTGTCAGCATTTTCCGTTTTTGTCAGAGTTATGGCCCTTTAATAATTTTAATTTTTAAAGTTTGTCCGGACTTCCACTCTTATTCCACTTAAGCAATTTCAATGAAACTGAACAGGATTGATCTGTAGCTCAAGTCCTTGTGTATATTGCACGGGTTTTCCGGTTGAAAGATTTTTGCAGAGTTATGGCCCTTTGATAATAAGGTGTTTTTTTCTGTGTGTTGCCAGATACACAAAAGCATGTCCGGACTACTCCTCATAAACTACTGGTGCAATTTTATCCAAACTTTACAGGAATGTTCAGTACCAAGTCTAGTTGTGCGCTGTTCGTCTGTCTGTCCGTCTGTCACAAAACTTATCCCAACATGAAATTGGCCATCATGAGGCGACACATGTGATCACTGATTGCTCTTTATAATAAATGAAAAGACTAAATTAGGTATTTTATGCAGGATATTTAAAGGCTCAATCAGGTATATTATATACTGCAGTCTGCGAAATAAGGCACACTTTGATGCCATACGCGGGAAAAATCCCATTTGAATACTTGTTTGAAATAAACTATGTTTAAACTAAAGTTAAATATATATAAACAGAAAAAGAGAATTTTATTATGCTCCCCGAAAAATTTCGGGGGAGCATATAGTCGTCGGGTTGTCCGTCCGTCCGTCCGTACGTACGTACGTCCCAAATTCGTGTCCGGCCCATAACTTTGTTATTTGAAGTCGGATTTTACAACTATATCACAGAAATGATCACCATATTGAGACGACATGTCGCGCGCAACATTTGGGTCGCTACCTTGAAGGTCAAGGTCACAGCATGACCTTGCAGCAAAATCATGTCCGGTCCATAACTTCATTATTTGAAGTCGGATTTTAAAAATATTTCACAGAAATGATCACCATATTGAGACGATGTGTCGCACGCAACATTTAGGTTGCTACCTTGAAGGTCAAGGTCACAGCATGACCTTGCAGCAAAATCGTGTCCAGTCCAGAAGTCAGATTTTATAAATATTTCACAGAAATGATCACCATATTGAGACGATGTGTCGCGCACAACATTTGGGTCGCTACCTTGAAGGTCAAGGTCACAGCATAACCTTGCAGCAAAGTCGTGTCCTGCCCATCACTTTGTTATTTGAAGTATGATTTTACAACCAATTCACAGAAATGATCACCATATTGAGACGAGGTGTTGCGCCCAACATTTGGGTTGCTACCTTGAAGGTCAAGGTCACAGCTAGACCTGTCAAAAAAGTGTGTCCGGCCCAAAACTTTGTTATTTGAAGTCGGATTTTACAACTATTTAACAGAAATGATCGCCATATTGAGACGATGTGTCACGCGCAAAAATTTGGGTCGCTACCTTAAAGGACAAGGTCACAGCATGACCTTGCAGCAAAATTGTGTCCGGTCAATAACTTCGATATTTGAAGTCGTATTTTAAAAATATTTCACAGAAATGATCACCATATTGAGACGATGTGTCGCGCGCATTGTTTAGGTAGCTACCTTGAAGGTCAAGGTCACAGCATGACCTTGCAGCAAAATCTTGTCCGGCCCATTACTTTGTTATTTGAAGTCGGATTTAAAAACTTTTTCACAGAAATGATCACCATATTGAGACGACATGTCACGCGCAACATTTTGGTCGCTACCTTAAAGGTCAAGGTCACAGCATGACCTTGCAGCAAAATCGTGTCTGGTCCATAACTTTGTTATTGAAAGTCGGATTTTAAAAATATTTCACAGAAGTGATCACCATATTGAGACGCAGGGTCGGGAACATTTGGGTCTCCACCTTGAAGGTCAAGGTCACAGTATGACCTTGCAGCAAAAAGCGTGTACGACCCATAACTTTGTTACTGGAAGTCGGATTTAACAACTATTTCACAGAGATGATCACCATATTGAATCGACATGCCGCATGCAACATTTGGGTCCCTACCTTGAAGGTCAAGGTCATGTCATGACCTTGCAGCAAAATCATGTCCGGCGCATTACTTCATTATTTGAAGTCGGATTTTACAACTATTTCACAAAAATGATCACAATATTGAGACAATGTGTTGTGCACAATATTTGGGTTGTTTTTACACTTTAAACTTTGTCTGTGGCATAACTCTGACACAACAAGAGGTATACCTTCCTGTGTCCAAAACCTAATCGGGGAGGATCACCCGGTTCATCCGGCTCTTGTTTAATAACTGGCTGACTGATATTCTGTGCTTGTGTGCCTAAAGTAAACTGTTGTCTTTATTTTGCACAATAAGTGTTTTGGGCCTGTGATAATCTGTCCATGCAGGTCCATACTAATTTTCTGTATCATTTATTCATTGATTTGTCCTTAACAATTGGATTTCATATAATCATTTAAATTACAGAATGGCGGGAAAAGCTGATAGAACAGTATCACAAAACCCTGCTGCAAGTTCCTACAACACCTTTACAACCAAAAAGTGAAAAATGTAGCTTTAATGAGATTTATATTAGGCCCAAAATAACGAGGGAAATAAAAGGAGAAAAGGGTGAAACAAAGGAGGTGGAGGTTGAAACAATGTCAGAAATCTTCACAAAGGACGGAGTCCCACAAAAATCTGTATATGTTCTAGGAGATGCAGGGTCAGGAAAAACTAGTTTTTGTAAATATCTGGTTAATTGTTGGTGTTTGGCACACAATGAGGCACATGAAGCTGGCAATGAGAACAAAGATGGCAGTGGTAAAACTGAAGGCGACAGTGAAAAACACAGAGGTGACGGTGAAAAACATGGAGCTGGCAATGAAAATATAAATGGCAGTTGTAAACCTAAAGTTGACAGTGAAAAATATGGAGGTGATGGTGAAAAACATGGAGCTGACAATGAAAATGAAGATGGCAGAGGAAAACTTGAATGTGACAGTGAAAAACATGGCAATGAAAATGAAGATGGCAATGGTAAAGCTGAAGGTGACAGTGGTAAACATGGAGGTGACAGTGAAAAACATGCAGGTGAAAGTGAAAAACATGAAGGTGGCACTGAAAAACACAGAGGTGATTTTGAAGAACATGAAAAAAGAGGAAGTGACATTGTAAATGAAGAGTTAAAGGGGGCACATAGTGGAGACATTGAAAACGAAGAGGGCAGTAAGACACATGGAGGTGTTAATGAGAAACGAGGAGACGAAAAACATTTATTAAGACTTTTAAGATTTTTTGGCGGTGACTTAATACACTCCGAATCCGATAGTGACGACTATGATGGTGACTTAACAGACTCTGAATTTGACAGTGATGACTCTGAATATGATAGCAAAAATTATGAAGTTAAATTCAATGGTGTAAAAGAGATGAAGAAATTTGATTTTGTATTTTACATCCCTCTTAGACAGTATCAGAACATTGACACTATCGATGAAATGCTTCAAAAACGTTATCAAATGAAAATGTTAAACACACTTCTTGAAGAGGAATCCTCTAGAGTTATGATTTTACTTGATGGCTTAGATGAATGGTCTTCTGAAAATGTCCCAGAACATAGCATCTTTAAGGAGTACACAATATTAACTACTTCGCGGCCATGGAAATTTCATACATTAAGATCAAGTGATGTGGAGATTGAACAGTCGCTAAATCTGAAAGGGTTTGATTTTAGATGTGAAAGGGAAATGGTAAATAGGACAGTCTCACAATTAAATATAAATAGACATGCTTATAAAAAAGCTAGAGATTGTAGGGAAATGCTAGAAGAAGAGTCTCTGGAAAGTTTAAAACAGGTACCAATTATGCTACAACAACTGATATGTCTATGGTTTGATGGTAAACTCGATAAAACCTCAAGAAGTGCCATCTACACCGGTATGTTAGAATTATTCTTCACCTGGAATGACCTGAAAACTACAGGAACAAGTACTCTACTCATGAAGGGTACCCAGAAAGTAAACCTCCCTCAATATTTAGCCGATAAAACCAAATTAAGATTAAACCGCCATTTCATTTATGAAGTGTCACAGTTGGCTTATGTGACACTATTTAATTTTCCGAAGGATAAATCCTTGACATTTGACATTTGTATGTTTGATGAACTAGAAATATCAGATGAAGTAAGAGAAAATTGCTTGAAACTTGGAATATTGACAGAAGATGAATGTCCAAGTTTTTCTGTATCAGAACCACCCAAGCTCATTGTTCTCTTTTATTCACAAATCAATGCAAGAATTTCTGGCTGCAGTGAATATTTGCATCAATTTCAATGCAAAAAATGGTTTGTCAGATAGTACAGGAAATGTGGAATTAGCCAAGAATTTTATAAATGAAGTTTTTCAGAACTGTTCAACAGTAAATGACATATTAGAGCAATCAAATGTTATCTTTATGCTATGTGGTTTAGAACCTAAATTAGCAACACATGTTTCAAAATACATATATGATACTTTGTCAGAAGACTCTGCTGTTCAGGAATACAGGAGAACAATAAATAGACACAGAGATAGAATACGGATGTTAGTAATTCCTGTTATGCTTTCTGAATATGATATTAGACATATTACTGATATTCAAAGGCTTATTTTTGAGTTAATTGAAGAATGCAATTCATCAGATATTCATGGAAGCCGTCCTGTATTTTATATAGGTGATTTGGTCATTGAAACATTGAGTCGGTATTGTGATATTATTTGTTCAGGTATTGATCAGCAACAAATTGTTCCTGACACTGTTCTGTCTATTAATGTAAATGGCATCAGCACAACAAATGTTCAATTTGCAAAATATTTACCGATGTTTCGTCATCTTGAAAACATTAAAATAACATATGATAATGTTTCAATATTTAGTACACAAAGTGATAGTACACAGAGTAATAAACAAATGATTGATGAGGTAAACAATTGTGTTTCTGAGACAATTAAAGAAAATACTTCAACATTAAAATATCTGTCTCTTGATGATGAATCTTGCACTGACAAGTATTACCCAGTGTATAAAACAGTTGTTAGTAACCTACCTAGTATGATCAATCTTGTAGCAATACGTATGAGTTGTGAATGTGATATGCAAACTATAACAATGAGTCATGATGATACTACTACATTTTGTAATTTTCTTGAGGGAACCAGTCATCTTGAACAAATACATCTTAATGCTGTTAAATGTAGGTGTCGGAAGCAGCATGATGTAAAATTATCAAAACATCAACAACTTCAGTACCTTTATTTGAAAGATACTGTTAGTGTGATCGATGCTGATACTACAAACCTTGAAGTATTTACATTTGGTGAATTGGCAGATAGTTATTATGAGAAAATATTTGATATTATTAGAAAATCTAACAAATTAAAAGAACTTAAATTGTATGGAGAATATATCTTTATAATGGATTTAGATCATACCAACATAACAATGAGACTAGTCACAGTATTACCATTGTTACACAATCTCAGTAAGCTTGAGTTATGTGATTGTAGGTTAACTGATAATATAAATACAGTTACCTTTAGGAAAATGAGAGTTTAAAGAAACATTAAGATTTATAGACGGTAAATAATGAAGTTTACAACATGGCAGAAGTTTGTTGATAGTCTTCCTAGTATTCCTCATACTGTAGATGTGATTGTAGTGCACTGTTATATAACAGGAGATGGTGAGGAGTTTAAAGAGTCAACATCGGATTTACAAGGAGGACTTGCAGCACATGGAGGACTTAGAGGAGAGAAGAGAAGTGATGCTAAACAATATGTAAAGGATAAGGATCAGTTATTTCATATTAAAGATGATGAATTTGATTGGTTTAAATTTTCAACAAAAAAGTGATAAAGTATACATGTAGTTAACATAGTGTTTATACTAAACTATTGCATGTTGAAACAGATGATAAATGTGTTGTTGTTGTTGTTTGTTGTTGTTGTTTTTTTTCAACATAAACAAATGGTTTGAAATGTTAACATAGAGGATACATCCATTCATATTTTCAACAAAAAAGTGATAAAAGTATCTATGTAGTTACATAGTGTTTGAACTAATTTTTTTTTATTTTCAACAATAAATATAATGGTTTGAATTTTCAACATAGTGATATAGGATACTTGCAGTTTACATTCTGATTAAACTAAATTATTTCATATTTAAAGACACAATAAATTTGCTTTCATCACACACCCGTGCCGCTTTTGCGACTGCGTTAAAATGGTATTGCACGACCGTGCATTTATTTTGACGTGACGTCATTAGCGTTATACAAACATATTGTAAAGACGAGCTGAATGTTAGCGTTATACTATAGGCGTGTCAATGAAAATGACTATTTTTTCACTTCAAACAGTCTTTATTTTGGGTATGTGATAAATAGAATATTAAATTTGTGTAATGTCATTACTGAATTTATTGCACTCGTAGAATAAAATAATATTATGCTCGCCTCGGTATATTAGGCTCGCATAATATAATTTTTTCATCTCATGCAATAAATTTAGTATTGAACTTACACTCATTCAATATCCTCTATTTATTCATTTTCATCAAAAGTGATACTAATTACAAGTAATTTTCCGGTAATTTGTTGTAAAGAAAGAGGGTTAATATATTGCATTATGATAACAATCATCAAAAAATTATTTTCTTTAAATATTGAGGTCTGGTCATTGCAACAAAATTATTTATAATATTGAAATTGAAGTATGCAATATTTAAATTGTGTTTATAAATAAATGAAAGAAATGCAGTGAAAGCATAGATATATTGATCTTAATAAAGTTCAAGTTTATTTTTAAAGATCAGGCATAGTTTGAAAAAATAGTGATTTGATGAAAGTAAATACATAAATAGATCATTAAATAAAAGGGATAAGTGAATTGATGAAAATGGTGATTAGTGAACCATTTACTTTTCATGGTGAAAATAGAAATTCTAACAGATTATAATAATCGAGAATTTGAAATGAGAAAGGCGTTGAAGTTACTTTACCATTGAACAGAATATATATGAATATATAAATAGATACATGAAAATAAAAAAAAAAACATGAGAGAATGATATATACATGCATTTATCTGTTATATGATATATAGGACAAGACAATGGTTTATATAAATACCAGTTATATGATATATAGGACAAGGGAATGGTTTATATAAATACCAGTTATATGATATATAGGACAAGGGAATGGTTTATATAAATACCAGTTATATGATATATAGGACAAGGGAATGGTTTATATAAATACCAGTTATATGATATATAGGACAAGGGAATGGTATATATAAATACCAGTTATATGATATATAGGACAAGGGAATGTTAAATATAAATACCAGTTATATAATATATAGGACAAGTGAATGGTATATATAGATACCCGTTATAATACAAGTGAATGATATATATATAAATACCAGTTATATGATATATAGGACAAGGGAATGGTATATATCATATAACTGGTTTTTATATATAGGGCAAGGGAATGGTATATATAAAGTACGGAAACGTAGAACGACCACCCCTATATGTTACTTAAAACAGAATTTTTGACAATTTATTTAATACATATTATATAACTTACCAATTTTAACAAACTTACTTGATCTGAAATATTTATCTAGTAATATCTACAGCCCCTTCATGTTGCTATAAACAGAATTTAAGACAATTTATTTGACACACGATATATATTTGACCAATATTTACATTGTTATTTGATCTTGAATATACATCATTTACTCAATCTGCTGTTAATATTGCTGGATTCAAATTTATGTGACATTTTTCTGTTCATTTATATCATAATATGTATTAGTTATTTATAGTGAGGTTTTTTATTCGCATACCTCTATCATTAAAAAAAAATATATAACATATTTTACAATTTATATTTGATAATGAGGACAGAAAAATCTCGCACAGTAGAAAGCTGTTTTAAAGATTATTTGAGGCTTTTTGTATTCCAAAGATGAAGGTATGTTTAAATAATTGTGCTTCAGATAGTGTTACAAGATAAAGATTATATAAAAAGGACAAACTCTGTTAGTTGTTAATAAGCATAAAATAAGCTAGCGAAGTAGTACCTGATGTTAATTAGTTATCATAGAAATCATTATATTCTTGAAAGATATATAATATATATAGCTTAAAACGACAACTTCTGACAAATTTACAATTTTAAATGTATGTACAGAGGATGGTACATGATAAATATTAAAAAAGGTATATTCGACCACTTGATGTTATTATAGGAACATAGATCCCAAAGCTTAAGCGATATTTGTCTTATATGATGTGTGACACGAGAAAAGTCAAGACATTTGTATTTGATAAAGGAAGCAATTGAATCGAGTAATATTGTAAATCATATATAATACGTATTTTTTGTAATCTATCGTACGTTTTTATCTTATAATGCAAGATAAACTACTTTTAACTTTTTGACAAAATGGAACAATAAAACACTTACATCTTTTTAAATATGTAATTCTTTCCTCAAATCATATTTGCATATAACAAACATACTATAAAACTGTTAAAAAAGTCATTTGATATCATATAGGGATGGTCGCTATATGTTTCCGTAATAAATGTTACATGTAAATACCTGTTATACAAGATTTAGACAATGGAATGGTATATAATTATATAAATACCTGAGTTATATGATATATAGGACAATGGAATGGTATATATAAATACCACTTATTTGATATATAGGACAATGGAATGGTATATATAAATACCAGTTATATGATATATATGACAAGGGAATGGAATATATAAATACCTGTTAAACGATATATAGGAAAAGTGAATGGTATATATAAATACCAGTTATATGATATTTAGATCATGGGAACAGTATATTTTATTACCTGTAATATGATATATAGGATTATATGCTATAGAGGAATGGTAAATTTTATATATGATTACCTGTTAGATGATATATAGGACAATGTTATATTTTTCATTAAGATGATGACCATTTACTTGTTATATTTTAGATATTCCTTCTTTTGATTGTTTTATATTGTAAAGATTGTAAAAAAAAGTTACCAATTATAGTTATGCAAAACAATAAATGTGTGCAAGTTAATACTGTTGTAAGTATTACTCAAAGTGTATAGTTAAAGGGACTCCACTGAGGATTATATTTTCTTGATGTTTTTTAAATGATAGGATGGGAGTTATTTTCTTGAGGTTTCCTACTATTTGATGAAGATCTATTACTTTTCATGTAAAAAATTTGTATGCAAAATTTCAGATTATTTGCTCACTTTGTTTTTCCAAAATACTAGTAATCATTTTAGCTCGACTATTCAATGAATAGCTAATGCTGTAATAGTACTTACCGCATTGGGGTCAAACTTAGGTTACTTTTATGTGTGCAAGTTGGTATCTAAGAAACTACTAAAGGACAATTTCAATTGACATTCTTGTTCTTTAACATGACTAACACAAATCACATACCTCTGATATTTTTTTCCTCATATTATTCCCCTTTTACAACTTAAAAAATCTTGGTTAAGTTTTTACGTATAAGAGTGGATTAGAACTTCACACACATATATGAGAGTAATAGGAAGTCACTGTCTGAGCACATAGATATTTGACAGAATTATTCCCCTTTTTGAAGTTAGAAAATTCTGCATTATCCATCACTGTTGATAGTCAAGCAATTCTGCATTATCCATCACTGTTGATAGTCAAGCA